ATTTATTGACTTCATGAATCATAGTTGAGTGTTTTATGCTTTTTAGAAAGTTTGAATTTACAATTCATTCGTCTGTTTTTATTTTAAAATATGCATAATGAGCTATAAGTATATTGTTAAATTTCTAGATACAAGCACTAGCGGTTACAATAAAGAGAAAATCAAGGTATTAGCTAAAGGACAAAAGAGTTTCAAGGTCACTGCTTTATGTCTCTTTTACTTGATACGTTTTTTTACTATTCTATTTGCCTGAGGGAAACATTCCAGGAAATATACTTCACATGCCTTAGAAGATCAATACTGCTGTTGGAGAGTAATAGTAAACATAGACTGAGAAAAAGAAACGTATGGGTTGCAATAATCCAGAAAAAAACTTTTCAGGAAGACAACATTTTTTTGTTGGTCAACTAAAAAAGATAGCTCAAATATTAGCACTTTCTTTAAGCAACAAATAAAGACATAATAAAAACTGAAGTATTAGGGCATTGCTAAAAATGTGAAAGTCTGTAGTCAATCTTTTTCAAGTTACCCTTAGTTTATGGCCATGGAATAATAATCTTAGATATCTTCATTTACATTTGACAGAGAGTTTTGTTTTTTTCATGAACATGCAATAAGTTATATAACAAGGAATAATTGTTTAGTTTACACATATTTTATTCAGAATGTGTTTATTCATCATGCAGTTGATACATTAATTCCTTATATTAACCCAATGTGAGAAAATCAAACTTCTAAATTTTAAAATGATACATAAAATAGACAATTCTTGAAGTGTAGTTTATTATATATATTTCAGATAATGTGAATGAAATGGATAACAATGCAAAAAGTACTAGTAATATTTTTGTGAAATTAAATATAATTAAACAATTAATGCCATCTTATTGACTTGAATGACATCAGCTAGTCAGCTTCAAATAGTTTCATATTTCACTGGGTTTTCATGTATCTTCATTTATTAAATAAATATATTTTTCAAAGGACAATTGCTTCTTTTTCTTCTTTTTACTTTTGAAAAAGAAGAGATTTTCTGGGTAATATTAATTTCTTCATGTGATTTTTGACAAATATTATCAAATATTATTTTATATTACTGATAAAACAACTTGTTTTTTGATGAACTGAACATACGTGACATTTATAGTGAATTATAAGACCCTGACAGAGTGCTGAGAGAGTGTGGCAGCATTGGAGTTCTGACAAGCTGCAGCAGGAAGAACCAAAACAGAGGTGTTAAGGCCATGCTGTCTCAACAAAGCATCCAAGAAAACAAAACTGCTGTGTCTTTATCAGTCAGAGCTCTCCAGAGAAACAGAACCAACAGGATGTGTGATGTGTGTGTGTGAGTGTGTGTGTAGAGTTATTTAAGGAAATGGCTTACCTGATTGTAGGGACTGGCAAGTCCTAGGTAAGAGTTGATGTAACAGCTGGAGTCCAAAGGTAGTCTGGAGGCAAAAGTCCTTCTTCCCTAGAGATCTTCAGTTTTCTTTCTTTCTCTTACAGCCTTCAACTGATTGGATGAGGCCCACCCACATTATGGAGTTTATTTTACTCAATGTCTACTGATTTAATATTGATTCAATATTTAATATTGATTACCTCTAACAAATAGCTGCACAGCAACATCAAACAGGCTGGTCTCAAACTCCTGACCTCAGCCTCCCAAAGTGCTGGGATTACAGGCATGAGCCACCATACCCAGCCTAATATAGTAATTTTTATTATGCATAAAAAGTTATAAAGTAAATATGCCTCTTGGGACATAGTTGTTTCATTTTTATATGAAATAAAATAACTTTCTATTTTTACATGGAAATCAGAATGCATGTGTCTCACGTGTTTTAGGTGTTATTATTCACAGGAGACCAATTATTTTGCAATGGCAATCCCTAATGCTCTATTCCCTAGTCAACTGGAAATACTTCCAAATCAGTTAATAAACTTCTTTCAATGTTTAAAGTTTGAAATATCTAAGCTGGGGTTAAAGGGAAAGCTCCTGTTTAGTTGTCAGTGTCTCTCAGAAGCACATCATGGGAATATTCATTCGTATTGTTGTAAAAATGTTTTCTTTCCTGTTTTGTGCTGGAGGAGTTGGCTCATGGGTTGCAGGACCAAAACCTGAAAACATCTCTGACTCTGTGTCACCAGGCCACACGATGAATACATCACTTAGGTCAGCATGAGAAAAAGGGAAAAACAGCTGTGAAGCCCATGAACTTTCCAAGAAGGTAAAGGAGAAAAAAAAAACAAAGATGGGTTTGAAGTCTTAAGTTCTACTATGAACAGCACCATGCTGAGATCATAAAAATGAAAAATACCATCAAGATACATGAAAAAGGAAACACCAAAGGGAACAGTGATAACAAGACTCCACAGAGCACAGCTTCCTTTGACAAGATGAAAAAGAAATGAAAAGAGGAAGGAGATAAATGGAACAGCCCTCTACCTAAAGTTTCTGTCCGTGGAGAAACTGACATTTAAGTGCTGCTCAACTGGAAAAAGAAAAAAGACCCGGTTATTGAAGTTGGCTTTATTGGAGATGCGTTACTCAGATACAAATGCGAAGATGTGTTTGGCCAATAGGCATCCATGTCAAGAAGCCTAACCTAACACATTCTGAACATTAAGCTACCTTTTATCTGCCAGTCCTTGGTGTTCAGAAGAATCCCTCCTCCTCACCCTAACTTCTATGCGGCTATTTCCAAATATACTGTCATTGAGGCGAATACGAGTGAGTTGGGCCTTATGACACAAGGAGACAAGACTATTTGAGGAAAATAGACACAGGTTTTCATATACATTTCATGTTATTCTGAATTCCTGATGGGTTCACTGATGGAATTAATTAGTATAGCCAATAAGGAGAACCGCAGTTACACTGGTATTTCTGGGTTCCGGATATCATCCTCAAGAAAACTATTTACTAATTACATTGAATGAGGTTATTAAAATGTGTAAGGTTCACACAAAAACAAAAAGACAATTCATTCCAAATTGTGCATATGGATATATAATGTTATTTATGGGAATTCCATTTTGAGAATTACTACAATTTTATGTGTTCTGTATAAAAACAGGAAAATAGTTGTTCCAATATATAAAAGGAAAACATTTAAAAATATATTTTGTTGGCAAAATCAGTTGCCAGAATTCATTCAGTCAACTACCAAGCACTCCTCTGTGGCAAGAAGCCCTGCCTGTCTGGTGTATGTAGCAGGCAGCTCCCCGTGTAAATGATGAGGGCAAGAAACATGCAGCTGATAAAAAGATAACATGTAATAGTCTAGTGATTACATGTGTACTACGGATCAGCGCCAGTTACTTGTAAGCTTTTGGTATTCAATTCATTACAGCAAATGTTTTCTTTTTAAATTTTCTTCTGCAAATGTTTTCTTGTAATGAAAACTATTTCCCATTCAGCAGAATTACAAAAATAGTCAAGAAGAAATGTTCTGATTGATGTATGCAGTTATAATGTATATTAAAGATTATAATAAAATGATAACTGAATTATATCCATTTCTAAAGTATATTGTGGCAGAATTTTTTTTAAACATGATATCTTTTTGAAAATTGTTTTACCGCTGGATCAGTGTGGTTCTTAAACTTGGCTTTATCTTGAAGTCACCAGAGGAGATTCAAAAGATACCATTCCCTGGATCCACCCCTAAGAGATTGGGATTTTAATTGGTCTGCATCTGGATTTTAAGAGCCTTTCTGGTGACTCAACTGTTTAGCTAGGTTTAAGAGCCACTACCCTAGATTATCTGTCTTGCTCCAGTAACATTCTTTTTCTAAAATCATATATAATATAGTAATGGAAATAAATCCATGGAAATTCCAAGTAAAATCAGAATTGCTGGGGTTTTTCTCTGGAACTGAAATTCCTATGTGTGAATAATGCCGAAGAATTGCTTATTCCTTTCACCAGCCAAACAAAGCAAAACAAAAAACATTTAAAACCCAGTAAGATGGTACTTGACTTACCAGATATTAAAACATACTAAAAACTGCCATACTAGAATCAGTATGGTAATGGATAGGAATAGAGAAGTCAGTAGAACAAAGTCGAGATCTCAGAAAGATCCCAGTTGATGTGCAAAGTTGTTAGTAACAAGGACTGTGGCACAATTCAGTGGAACAGGGATCATTTCATAAATTCTGCCAGAACAAACAAGTGTCCATAAGGCAGCAAATAAGAATGATCACTATCTTATACACACTAAGAATATGTAAATTAAGGAGGAGGAGAAACAAACCACAACAATCTTAAAGAAAATCTATGAGATTGTAGGACCTAGGGTAGTATGAAACTTTCTTAACAAAGATTGGAAACTCAGAAGCTGTAAAATACAATAGAGACATAATTGACTATATAAAAATCAATGTTTGCATGGTAAAAATACTATATGCAAACATTGTATATAACTATTAGATCTGAAAAACATTTGGAAGACTGTCAAATATAACTTTCCAATAGCTAAAAGTATGACCCATGCAAATATCAAATAAGCATGTGTCAAAGATTTAGTCAATTCATTAATTAATGAGGGAACCAGTAAAATAATAAGCTGGTTCAAAGGATATTTTGAGGATTGTGTAGGGAAGACCAAATGTTGCTCAGGAGAAAGACAGAGTATGAAAATGTCCTGTTCTTTGCTGTATCCTCAGGGCTAGCACAGGGCCTGGAAAATAGTTGGCACAGATTAAACTCCTGTTGAACTAAAATTATACTAAGACTCCTTTACTAATGCTGAAGAAGTAGAGAAGTGGAGAATTTCTCACATACACACAGAAAGCCACATGGACGTCTGCCCAATTATAATAATACTTATCCTGAAAGAGAAGATAAATGTCATAGATTTCGGCTTTAGCAGGCAAACTAATTTATAAAATCCTGGATTGATAAAAAGCCTTGTCTTTGTAAAATCTGGCTTTAATTAGATAGAAGCACCACCTGTAAGGCTGTTCAATGTGCTCTTTTGTTTTATTTATAGGGAAATGTGTCCTTCTCATGTCCACAGCCACAGACTGTCCCTGTGACTTTTCTGAGCTCCAGGAGTTATCTAGCTCTGCCGGCCAAGTCTGGGGAGGACAAAGTGTCTGTCACTTTCCAATTTCGAACGTGGAACAGAGCAGGACATTTGCTTTTCGGCGAACTTCAACGTGGTTCAGGGAGCTTCATCCTCTTTCTTAAGGATGGCAAGCTCAAACTGAGTCTCTTCCAGCCGGGACAGTCACCAAGGAATGTCACAGCAGGTAACAGTTGTATTCCCATAAACCTGACGTATCCACATGAAATCATTTGGTAATGAGTGAGTGAGTGAGGCAGTGAGATGCTCGATGCCCCCACTAGAGGAAGAGATTGCTGTTTCCTTTTAGACCGTTCCTGTGTGGCACACACAGCCACCACTAAAGTGTTCTTTTGACCAAAATGAGTATATATGAGAAATATGAAATGCATATTTCTACAGATGTACCTTCCCATATACAAGGAAAATATGTAATACCCTTAAGCTCCATTTCCTGACAAACATATACCAGCCTCCATCCCAAAGAACTAGGGTCAGGACCTCATGGAACAGACAACACCCAGGGGCATGTTCCTCTCCTGTCCTTACTTCTTTCCCTTCTCCGCCCCGCCTCTCCTCTTAGGGTCTGTGCACAAATATTCGATACACAGTAGGCAATTGATAACTATCACCTTATAGTGAAAGATGCTGGCAAATACCAAGAGTTCTTACTCTTTTTTGATGGCTGATTAGTTTTCTGGGATAGCCTAGCACCCTGGAACAATCTCAGCTCCTCCACTTACTGCCCTTCTGAAATGCAAATCACCAAGCCTCCTAAACCTCAGCTGTTTTCACTTGTGAAATGGTAACTCTCAGATCTCCTTTGCAGGGAGAACAGTAGGAAGGAAGTCTGATTTTATTAGCATAATGCCCACCCCACACACAGGCCTCTCATCCCCACTCTCCGTCAGGGCTTGTTTTTGTTGGGCAAATGCTTTGCCATCCCTGCTAGGTTAGGGGCTCAAATCCCACGAGGCCGGACTGAGTAACAGTAGATGGGAACTGATCTCACGTGCAGTCCGATGTGGGCACATGTGTTAACTACAGAGCTGCTGGATTATAGTGACTGGATTTGCACATGGGAGGAGCGCTGGGTCCTAAATCAACATTGTGCCTAAACTGGCATCAGAACCAAATGGGGGCTTTAAAAATAAAAAAAAATTTTAAAAAAAAAAAGCATGATCTGAAAAAGAAGAAGGCACAGATGAAGAGGCTGACTTCCGCTTGAGACCAGGGGATTATCATGCTCAAAAAAAGATTCCTTTTGGCTGTAAGAGGCACACGTGACTACACTGCTGTTAAATGTTGTGGTATGAAAGCAAGACCTGTGAAGAAATTCAGAGGGCGGGGGCTTATCTCACAAATAAGATTTTTTCCAAGAAAGGTTAAAATTGTGACCCACACACAGATACAAAATGAACATATGTCAGAGATTTTCTTTAACTCATTAATGAGAGAACCAGTGTTAGGGAAATAATTAAAGATGAAATTGCCTACCAACATAGTGAATCAGTTTCCCAAGGTAGAAAAGAAATAGTCTTATTACAGAATAAGTATTAAGCCAGACTGTGATGCACATTTCAGGCAATCACTAATGTGACTGCAAAGACAAATTTCATCCATTTATGTAGCCAGACAGATACAACCCATTACATGTTCTAAAGATAAAGGACAACTTGTCCTCAAGTAAGAGGACTTGACAGCACCGTTTGCTACACAGCCCATCTTATATTCACGTGGTAACTGGGGAGGCACACTCCTTTATGCAAAGGAAAACTAAACTCCTTCATGTCTCTTGGACAAGTGGGTAGTTACAACTTGGAGCCAGGCACCTACATTAAGGAGACAGGAACACTACCTTTCTTGATGTTTACATTTCAAAGAAATGTCTCCAAGGTCCTCAAGAAAAACATTCCTGGAAACAAGAAAGAGTCTAAATAAGGTTTTTTGTTGTTGTTTTTGTTTGTTTGTTTTAAGATTTTAAAGATGTACAAGTTTTCTGAAAGAAATGCTCTAAGGAAAAAAAGTGAGTGAAAGTGTGTATCCCTTTTAGCACTAACAAAGTTTGTGTTTGTTTTGGTTTGTGTTTACCCTTACACCAGTAAGGCCAGTTTGAAGAAGTACCACACATTTATAGTCAGAAAGGAGATGCTGAGATGCAAACCTAGCAGAACTTGCCAATATCCACAGGGAAAGGCAAATCCCTTCCCTGTACACACTTTGCATCTCTGTGGACAAGCATTATTTGCATTATTATCAATGTTCTGCAAGTTAACTTCTGTCACTACACAGCTGTAAAGTAACCCAGTCCAAGATGATGGTTTACAATCCTGTAATGTCAGCTAATCTTTCCATTGAAAATACATCCAGTAATCTCTTTTGCCCATTTCAAAGACTGCCCTCAATTTTTTTCCTACAGTAGTTGGTTCAGCTTTACTGCTGATGAGTTGCATATATTCTGGATTCAATGAGGTGCTGAGCAAGCACTTCATCCAGTTCTGGGTTGCACAATAACTAGAATTAAATATAATTAAAGTTCTTAAATCTCATCAGGATTTTGCTTTAGCTCATGCCTTTGTGAGTATGATATTTTGCCTCTGCAGTTAAAATGTTGTAGTTGTTAACAAGAGATCATCTTCATACTCAAATGTGTTTAAAATAACATCTATGTTGTGGGCAATTAATTTAATAACTTCTCATTAAAATATAGATTCCACTGTATCTGATTTTCTTGTGCATAAACTATGGCCAAAGGCCAAATACAACCTAATAGAAAACAAAAAGGAAACAAATGTGGATGATAGACATGAAAACAATTACACAAAGATCTGCTTTTATTTGTCAAAAGACATTCTTAAGGAGGGCACTTTTTGCAGTTATAAAAAGAACATGTCAAAGATTATGTTTAACTCATTAGTTTATGAGGGAATCAGTAAGATGTTACAACAGGTTCGAAGAATCAAAGATATATAAGCAGTAAGCTGCAATGATTTTGCATATAATGTAAAACTGGCTTATTCCATGGGATGGGGTAGAAGAACCAGGAAGATCAATTGTATTTCTACCAGACGAAATTCATTTGCATGTCTGTGAACAATAATCATTTGCCTGCTTTCAATTTTCTGCAATTCCCAGGGTGATAAAAGAATTCAAAGAAGGTAAAAGACCTGCAGAATCATGTAAGCCTCGAGACTGTGTTTAGAAAATGCCTACTTTTACGTTGAAGACATTCAGAATCTTGGTTGATTTTAAAGAATAATTTATTTCCTTACACATTATTATTACTTCTGTTTCTGTTTCACACATCACTGAAGGTTAAAAGGGAAAGCTAAAATATTAATGTTAATTTTTAATTTTTAAGAAGTACTACATTTGAAATGCTAATAATATACTAACTTCACATAAATGCATGTTAGGAAGAAAAATAAATCAAGCACAGAGTCATTTTAATAATTTACAGGTTTCCTGAGACTATCAAGTAAAATGTTAACTTTATAGAAAAGTTTCTATTAGTCTAAAGTTTATTGTGATATATGTAATTTCTGAAACAGTTTTGATTTTTGCCTAATTTTAAACTTCAGTGTAATGTTAATTTAATAGGCCTCATGAAGCTAATCTTATTTTTAGCCCACTTCTTGGCATGTATCTTTGACATATTACCAGGTAAAAGAAAACACAGAATAACTCTAGTGATTTTAAATACCTTAACATTTAAATTTACCATCAAAGACAATTCATTATGTTACCAAATTATTTCATAAGATTAATTTCATAATTACTACTAAGAATCATAAAATAATGTGGATGTGAATATAAATATATAAAAATACTCTACATATATAAAGTACACCTCCAGTTCTTTCCTAAGCATTTTTTATCAAATATAAAATGTTAGCCTTTATTTTATTTTATTTTTTGAGACAGTCTCACTCTGTCACCAAGGCTGTAGTGCAGTGGTGTGATCTCTGCTCACTGCAACCTCCACCTCCCGGGTTCAAGCGATTCTTGTGTCTCAGCCTCCCAAGTGGCTGGGACTATAGGTACATGCCACCAGCCCCAGCTAATTTTTTGTATTTTTAGTAGAGATCAGGTTTCACCATTAGCCAGGCTGGTCTCAAACTCCCGACAGGTGATCGCCCACCTTGGCCTCCCAAAGTGCTGGGATTACAGGTGTGAGCCACCATGCCCAGCCAATAATAACTTTTTTTTTTTTTTTTTTTTTTTTGAGACGGAGTCTCGCTCTGCCGCCCAGGCTGGGGTACAGTGGCAGATCTCAGCTCACTGCAAGCTCCGCCTCCTGGGTTTACGCCATTCTCCTGCCTCAGCCTCCCGAGTAGCTGGGACTACAGGCGCCGGCCACCTCACCAGGCTAGTTTTTTGTATTTTTAGTAGAGACGGAGTTTCACTGTGTTAGCCAGGATGGTCTCGATCTCCTGACCTCGTGATCCGCCCGTCTCGGCCTCCCAAAGTGCTGGGATTACAGGCTTGAGCCACCGCGCCCGGCCCAATAATAACTTTTAAAAGATTATGTCTATAATCATAATGTGTTAATTCAGAAATACATGAATATATGTTAAAGATTTTAATTAATCAATGAAGAAACCAGTAAGATATTATAGTCAATTCAGAGAAGAATTCAAAGTACTACACATACAGGCAGATAAGAAATGCCAGAATGAATTACAGACAGAAATGAAATGGTCCAGTAACCAACTGCACCCCACCAGGCACAAGTCATTTGCATTTCTATGGGTACAAGTCATTTTGCATTACTATCAGTTTTCTACAATTTACAGGGCTGTAAAATAGCTCAGACAGTGAAAGCGGGGTTTACCTTAATTAATGGGTGCAGTAAACCAGACATCCAGTGATCTTTCCCCCCATTTCAAATCCTGTTGCACCACATAAGTATGTACAATTATTATGTGTCAACTTTTTCTAAAAAAAGCTTTTCACAGTCATTCTTCACATATTTTTTAATCAACTCACTTTCTTGATTCTTGTAACATATTTTTGTTAAATTCAGTGAAGCAAGTAAGTTTTGCATTTGAAGATTGAACCAAACTGTGTTGTTTTTAATCCCATCATAAAGGCTTCTAATGTTTATGTTTGATAATTAAATTCTAGTTCCTTTACGCAAATTATCAAAATTTATTATAGTGATTCTTCAGAAAGTAATATTTTTATTCATGCATTATTGTCATAATAAATGAAATTTTTAAAATTAAAAATAGATGGTTAATTTTTTTTCAGTGATATATCATCAACATGTAAATACCACTCTTTGACTTATTCAGTGATCTGAATCAAACTGTTTTCAAGTGTTTACAGAGCTCATAATTTAGAGTTGTCTCTGACTGATTATATTTCCTCCAGGTGCTGGATTAAACGATGGGCAGTGGCACTCTGTGTCCTTATCTGCTAAGTGGAGCCATATGAATGTGGTAGTGGACGATGACACCGCTGTTTAGCCCCTGGTGGCTGTGCTCATTGATTCAGGTGACACCTATTATTTTGGAGGTAAGAGAAGGCAACTGAATGACAGTGGCAGTGGAACCACTTTTTATCTTTATTGCTTTGCATTTTAACTCTCTATTCAAATTTATACCAAGTTAATACTAAGAAATAATCTATCCCTAGCAATGAAATTAATACCTTTTGAGTTTGTAAGAGAGAGCGCCAAATCCTAGCCACTAGACCACCAGGGAAGACTTGAGTTTGTAAAAAACATGAAACATTTAATCAATTTTTCTTCCCAATACAAAAATAAGTATCTGCAGAAAGTTTATTTAATGTTTAAATAACTTCGTATTTTCATTTAACATTAAAAGAAAATACATTTGAGCTACATGTAGTAAATAAGTGGAAACTTTCAAACATCAATATCATAATCATGTATCTACAACAGATAAATCCATTTTACTTCTAACAGCTTGTACAAACAAAACAGATCATATTGCCTAAAGTCATTTGTCTTACATAAAATATTACTTATATATTTAAGTCTACATCTAAATCTATACTATTGAATCATTAGTATACAACTCAATTTGTAGGTAGATAGATGAATAAATATTTTTACATGGAAAAGGACTAATAGGAAATATCATACTGATTATGAAGTACTTTCACAACATTGACAATAATAAATATTAATAAGAGAGAGGCATATTAAATGAATCCAGTGTAATTGATGTTACACTGGTGCAAAGTACTGAATGTTTGCTTCCCCCCACCCAGATTCATATGTTGAAATCCTGACCCCCAAAGTGATGGTGTCAGGAGGCTTTGGAGGGTAATTAAGTCAGGAGGGTGGAGCCCTCATGAATGGTATTAGTGCCCTTACGAAAGAGGCCCAAGAGTACTCCCTTGCCTTTCCTGCCATGTGAAGTTATAAGGAGGAGACTCTGTTCTGTGAACCAGACACTGCATCTGCTTTGCCTCAAACTTAGACTTTCCAGCATCCAGAACTGACAGAAATAACTGTTTGTTGTGTAAGCCACTCAGTTCATGAGATTCTGCCCAAACTGACGATGAGAACTCATACAGCTAAAGAAATGGAAACAAGTGGATCTTTTGATTATAAAGGAAGTTTGGATTTTTTAAATTAAAAGAACCACTAGGAATAACAGCAAAACCCTGCTATGTATTTTTTAATTAAAAGAACCACTAGAAATAACAGCAAAACCCTGCTATGTATTCTAGAATGCTCCTGTGAGCCCAAAGATGAGGCTTATATATCTGGAAACTACAGTTAAAAGAAATAATCATGTGAGAAAACTTGTCACATGGGGGCATGGATGCCTGTACATTAAAGCATTCTGTTATCATCCCATATCACTACATATATGATAAGAAAACTTATTCTCAAGTAAGAAAGTTTTCAACTAGGTAAGAAATTCCATGCTGGACACAGATATAGAGAGCCACTTTGCACTGTACCTAAACACTGAGGTGTTACGGAGGTAACTTAATTACTTGTAATTCTTACTGGAAAGGTAAATATATTCAACTTTCTTAGTAATAAAAATTGTATGTAAACAGAAATATAGATCTAGTAATAGAAGACTTGCGATATACATACAGTCCTATATATTGCATTTTACCTCATCAGTACTTGTGGTGTTTCACAAAGAATATGTACTTTTCCAAATATACAGTCACAGACATTCAAAGACTTCACTGAGCTGTCCTCTGGCACACAGTGTGTATTTAAATTATTTAAGAAAATTAAAATGGCCTGAGGAATCTCTGAGCAGACAAAGCCTTGTAAGTGGCCTTAACTTTGCTTGATTTACCAATATAAGCAAAGCTTAACTTGAGCTATTTCTTGTAAATGGCTTTAAAAAAAAAAAAAAAAAAAGTCAAACTTAAGGCTAACCAATCAGAAGCCACCAATTAACTTATATAACTAGAGACTTTCCAGCAGGATCAGCCAAGTAGGGCAATTGTATAACTACAACCAGTGAAAAATCTGCTCCTATATTTACCTTACAGAAGCTGGCCCTTTTCGTTCCCTTGAAAGGGTCCCTGAACCAGTTCCCATTTGAAGCTGCTTCAGCAGTGATTGATGAATCACTGTTAGCTCAAATCAACTTTTGTGCCTCCATTACCTTTTATTAATGGATACATTTATATCTCTAGTTGGATGCTTTTTCCTCTAAGCAGACACAGAGTAACCCTAAAGAGCTTAAGATTTTAAAAATTTCAAGGAGTTAATGCCTTGATTTATCTTGAGTGGATGATAACATAAGGAGTCCTCAGAAAAATATAGCCATGCCTGCCAACCTTTTCAGAAGAGCGAAGTTAGCTTAAGGAATAATCATCAGTCCTAGGTTGTCAGTGATCTCAGAAATTCCATGTGCTGAGGATGATGCCATATTAAGGGTTTCCAAGTATGAGTACCAAGATAGCTCCTATACCTGCTCTCAGCCATATGTGGTATAGACAATTATCTCTAACAAAGTTTTTCCAAACCAAGTAGAAAAAACAGTAAACAGAGCAGAGATTTTTTTTATTGGGATGGGACTAAAATCTGTCCTTCCTTTAGGATGAGGGCTAAAATCTGCATGACAGAAACAGGTGACAGAGTCTGATCCACACTACTTTGTTTTCACAACTGCTAGCCCAGATGGAATAGGTCCAGAAAGAAACTACTGTATAAGCAATAGAAAATCTCAAACATTATAGTCTTTGACAATGTATATTCATATATATTTTCCCATTTCCTTCAGAAAATATGTGATGCTTCTCTTGTTTTTTAAACTTATTTTAGGCTCAAAGGTATACATGTGCAGGTTTGTTATACAGGCAAATTGCATGTAATGGGGGTTGGTGTATAGATTATTTCATCATCCAGGTAATGAGCATAATTATTTCATCACCCAGGTAATGAGCATAGTACCCAGTGGGTAGTTTTTCGATCTTCATCCTCCTCCACCCTCCACCCTCAAGTAGGTTGTGGTGTCTTTTCTTTCCTTCTTTGTGTCCATATGTACTCATTATTAAGCTCCCACTTATAAGTCAGAATACATGGTATTTGGTTTTCTGTTCCTGTGTTAGTTTGCTTTGGATAATGACCTCCAGCTCCAAAGGACATTATCTCATCTTTTTTTATGGCTACATAGTATTCCATGGTATATATATACCATATTTTCTTTACACTGCCATTGATGGGTATTTAGGTTGATTCTATGTCATTGCTATTGTGAATGAACATACACATCTATGTGTCTTTATGGTAGAAGGATTATTATTCCTTTGGGTGTGTACTCAATGGGGTTGCTGGTTCGAGTGGTAGCTGTTTTAAGTTCTTTGAGAAATCACCAAACTGCTTGCTGCAATGACTGAACTAATGTATAACCCCCCAGCAGTGTATAAGCACTCCCTTTTCTCCACAGCTTTACTGGCACCTGTTAATTTTTTGCCTTTTAAATAATAGCCATTCTGACTGGTGTGAGCTGGCATCTCGTGGTTTTGATTTGCATTTATCTAATGACTAATGATGCTGAGGGTTTTTTCATATGCTTTTTGGCCATGTGTATGTCTTCTTTTGAAAAGTGCCTGTTCACATCCTTTGCCCATTTTTTAATGGAGTGATTTTGTTTTTTTTGTTTTTGTTTTTGTTTTTGCTTGTTAAGTTCCCTATAGATTCCAGATGTTAGACCTTTGTCAGATGCATAATATGTGAATGTTTTCTTCCATTCTGTAGGTTGTCTGTTTACTCTGTTGATAGTTTCTTTTGCTGTGCAGAAGCCCTTTAGTTTAATTAGGTCCCATTTGTCAGCTTTTGTTTTTGTTGCAATTGCTTTCAGTGTCTTCATCATGAAATCTTTGCCATGTCCTATGTCCAGAATGGTATTTCCTATATTTCCTAGGTTATCTTCCAGGGTTTATAGTCATAGGCTTTATTTTAATTTTTTTTTTTTTGAGACAGGGTCTCACTCTGTTGCCCAGGTTGGAGTGCAGTGGCACAATGCACCCTCAACCTCCCAGGCTTAAGAGCTTTCCCCGCCTCAGCCTCCTGAGCAGCTGGGACTACAGGCACGTGCCACCACACTCAGCTAATTTTTTATTATTATTATTATTTGTAGAGACGAGGTCTCGTTATGTTGCCCAGGCTTGTCTCAAACTCTGAGGCTCAAGCTGTCCTCCCACCTCGCCCTCCCAAAGTGTTGCGATTATAGGCATGAGCCACTGCACCTGACAGGTTTTACATTTTACTCTTTAATCCATCTTCAGTTGATTTTTGTATATGGTGTAAGGAAGGGGTCCAGGAACTGTTGATGGTTAGCCAGTTATTCCAGCACCATTTACTGAATAGGGAGTCCTCTCCCTATTGCATGTTTTTGTTGACTTTGTCGAAGATCAAATGGTTGTAAGTGTGTGGCATTGTTTCTGGGCTCTCTATTCTGTTCCATTGGTCTGTGTGTCTGTTTTTGTACCAGTACTGTGCTATTTTGGTTACTATAGCCTTGTAGTAGAGGTTGAAGTTGGGTAACGTAATGCCTCCAGTTTTGTTCTTTTTGCCTAGGATTCCCTTGGTTATCCAGGCTCTTTTTTGGTTCCGTATTAATTTTAAAATAGTTTTTACTGGTTCTGTGAAGAATGCCATTGGTAATTGGATAGGAACAGCATTGAATCTATAAATTGCTTTGGGCAGTATGGCCCAATATGGTTAAAAACCATATTTATTATTCCTATCCATGATTATGGAATGTTTTTCCATTTGAATGCCATTTATGATTTCTTTGAGCAGTGTTTTGTAATTCTTGTTGTAGAGATCATTCACCTCCCTGGTTAGCCGTATTCCTAGGTATTTTATTCTTTTCATGGTAATTGCAAATAGGATTGCATTCTTGATTTGGCTCTCAGCTTGCATGTTATTGGTATATGGGAATGCTACTAATTTTTGTACATTATTTTTTATCCTGAAACTTTACTGAGATTATCAGATCAAGAAGCTTTTGGGCAGAGACGATGGGGTTTTGTAGGTATAGAATCATATCGTCTGCACACAG